TGCCGGCGGAGGCGGCCGCGCTCCGCGCACCTGTGGTGGCCCCGGGCCTGCCCGGCAGCGGGGGGACATGCGCGGGGGCCGGAGTGGGTGGCATGAGGGGGCAGAGAGCAGAGGCTGAAGGGAGAGCGAGCGGGTCTCTCCAGGGGTTTTCTCCCCTCTCCCCGGCAGCCTCCAGCACTTCAGGTCCCGGACGTCCTGACGCGGAGGCCGTGCCCGTCGCTCCGGCGCTCCACAGCTCACGATGCCCCTGCCGCCAAGCACGTGTCCAGCCCCTTCGTGAGCTGGATGTGGCTGAACTCTCGGCGGCCGCCACGTCTAGGGGCAGCGACTCCCACGCTGGGCAGAACTGGCCCATCCTGCTCATAAGAGGAACAATATCCATTCACCCCATCTTCGTCCTCTCCCTTCTGAGCACCTTTGAGGTCGATCTTTAAACCTTTCCTTCTTAACAAAGCAGCTGTTGGCCCCGCTTTGCTTTTCGGGCTGCCTGGTAGCATTTACCGGAGAATGTCCTGGAGGGCCATGATGTCCGTTGAAAGGGGTTCTCGGGGCTGTACAACAAGTCTCGGGCCCATGGGTGGTAGCCGAGTGTCCGTGCTGCAGCTGGCACTGATGGGCAGCCTCAAACACAGCCCTAGCAATGTACCAGGGTGGGTGGGAGCCTGCCCTTCGCTGCCCTTCCCGCGAGCAGGCTCTCAAGGTGAGGGAGGCGCATGGCTGGAACGTTATCTCTGCAGACACATTGGAGCTTGCTGTAAGAAGAAAGTCTCCCTGGGGTGCTGCTAGCAGAGAAAGAAGCTGTTTAGTACTTTGAGTGCCTTTAATGGGATCCTGAATGCCAGGTCCAGGATCTCCAAAAAGGCCACGTGATTTGGGGAGCACCCACCCTCGGAAAATCAGGCTCAGAGCAAGCTAGGCCTGAAAGGCTGGACACCCCTCGTGTGCCAGCACCATGGCTTGGCCCCTTTAAGTTAGGGACTGGCAGAGCAGGTGCCTGGGAGCAGGTGCTGGAGAGATCGGCCTGCTGCGGTATAAAAGGCAGCCCTGACACTCATCAAAGGGAGCTGCAGCGAGAGGAAGGAATCCCCTGGCTGGAGGTTGTAGCTGGCAGGATGCCTCCTGGAGACCTTGGCAGCCGGCTGGGAGTGCCAAGCGGTGAGGCTCTGTGCCACGCCGCGGGGGACTGCCTCTGCCTCCCAGACCCAAGCGGGAGGGAGGGACTGGTGTTGCAAAGAGCACTTGGTGGCTGGAGGCTTCAGGAGCACCCTGTGTAGCAGGCTCCAGCCATGCCCAGGGCATCTCGCAGGCTCTGGGGAGCAGGGGCCTCTTCTCTGCCTCCAATGTTGAGGGCTGCCTAGTTCTGTCGGTCCCTGCTGCCCCATGCATGCTACGTGGCTTCCGCGGTGCTTCTCCCTGCTAGGCATGGACGTGTCCCAGAAAGGAGCAGGAAAGTGTTGGCCGCTGCATGTGTGCCTGGGGTAACGAGATGAAAAGAGGGATGAGCAAGCAGCCCCGGTGAGCGTGATTTGCTGCAGAGGGGGGTTTGCTCCTGAGAAGCGGGTGGAGAACTGGGAGGGCAGCCACGGGCTCTGGGACGGGGAGGAGGCAGCTGTAACTCTCCCCTAGAGCCGGTCTCCCTTTGGACTCCCCTCGTGCACACGGCCTCTGCCACCCCAATTAACCAGGCACAGCCTGAGTGATGTCCCCACAGCAGCGCCTGCTCCCATGCAGGGGAGGGAAGGGGCTCCATGCCCAAAGCTGCTGCTTGGTGGGTGGCTGTGCCAGGCCCCCCAGTTCAGCCAGGGGGCATGGCTGTCCCTGCCCCAGTGTGACTGCTGTGTACCATTTGTCCTGGAGAAGCAGCTGGCTGAGCCCTGCTGACAAGTCCTGCTGCGTGCTGAAAGGCAGCGTGGAGGTGAAAACACCCCTACTCTGAGGGCATTTCTCTGCTGCCTCTGAGCCACACTAGGAAGCACAGCACACCCGCTCCGGGCATGCCCCTGCCCAAACAGATGGCTCAGCCTGGGGGCCTTACCCGGTGCTTGTCTGTGAGCCTGCCTGAGATGGCTAGCTCATTGGCATGGGTCCAGCACTGCTCTAAGTGGTGCATCACTTCCATTTTGAAGCATGGCAGGTGCACAGCAGGCAGCCCAGGCTTTGCTGCTGTGCTCCTGGCACAGTCCAGGGCAGGGAGGATGTGCCCTAGGCTGCCTGCAGGGTTCAACACCCCCGTGGCACCTATAGAGGAGCAGACAGATCCTCTTGCTCCACCGTGCTGATAACAGCTGACTTCTGCCCCCGCCCCCCCCGGAGCACCTGCCACCTCTCGTTGCAGGCAAGGAACATGGCACTTGTGCAACAGGAGAGGCCGGGGGTGGAGGGGAAGGGGGTGCTCTCCTGTGCCGTGTGTTGCCCCTGGGAAGACCATCCCAGATCCTACATAGCATCCCAGGCTTACAGATCCTTGTTATGCAGCAGCCTCTCTTAGGGCCCTGGTCCCCGCTGCAGGGGTGTGCATGGACACGCATTAGGAAGGATGGACTGCAGGGCATGGTCCAGCTCCTTGCTCTCCGATAGGCTTCGGCATCCTGGGCAAGTCCCTTAGAGGTCTCGACGGGGAGTGAAGTTCTATCAAGCAATTCAACCATAACAGCTGCCACCAGCAAGACACATGGCCTTGATATTCCCCCCTCCTAGCTGCTCTGCCTGTGTGTTCCTGTCTCCAGCACGCCTGCCGAGAGCAAGTGGCAGCTTGGCCTCCCTGCTTGGCTTGCGCTGCTTTCTCTCCTGCCTGAAGCAAGCAGCCCGTGTCCGCTCTTTGTGGAAGCGCTGGAGGTCAGGTGCTGTTGTGCGTGACTTGCTGCTCCCTCCCTGCTCTGAGTGCTGCAGTCTGGAGAGAGAGGGGGGGAAAAAAAATCATTTCCAAAGTTGAGTCACCAGTTGCTTCTGTTTTCCTCACTCCCCGGCACTGCTGCACAGGACAGGCTGCGGAGCTGTGTGTAGCAGCCCCAGAGCGGCTTGAGGGCAAGGTGGGGGCAGAGGGGAGAGATCCCAGAGTCCTTAGTTTGTCTGCCCAGCACGTAGGGCTGGCGACTTCATGGTTGCTTTGTGCTGGGGGAATGCAACTGGAGGAGGAGCAGAAAGCACATCTACAGCATGCCCTGGCCTGGCTGAGGAGAGAACTGGTAAGAGCTTTTCCAATTTTATAGCCCTACTGATAACCCTTTCTGTGCTGTGAGAGAATGAGTGCATCCAGACATGTGTGCATGCCCATACACCTGAAACAAGCATGCAAACATGAAGGTTGGCACGCAAGTCTACATGCACCTATTCATGCAAACAGGTTCAGAAATTCTCGCATTGGTTTGCCCACAGACGTGGGAGTTCATTCGCAAGTTCCAGTTCATAAGAACACACACTTGCAAAACCACGGGTCTGTATGCATATACACACGTGCATGCACACACTGAACCATCATTTATGGTGCACTCAAAGTGCCTTACAAGCAAAGAGCCCCATTTTACAAGTAGGAAAACTGAGGCAATGAGGGATCAGGAGACTTACCCAAGGTCACTTGGTGAGTCTGGTGCCAGGCAGATTTACCTATGTGACAGCCCTGATGCAAGGACCCTTCTTAGCTTTGCAGTCCCCAGAGAGTGGTGATTTTTGTGCCAGTGTGTGTCAGGGTGAGAGTGTATGTGCCAGTGTGTGCATATACTGAGCTACCATTTATGGGGCATTCAGAGTGCTTTATGTATGGTATATGCTGACTCTTCCCTACAGCCTGGGAAGCTAGAGCAGTGACACCAAGTGCACTGGTCACAAATAGTGGCACGTCTGCTCCAGGACCTGCCCATTGTCTCTGTGCTGATGTTTGCTCATCAAGCCTCAGTGGGACGGAGCCAG